AGAGTTCACCCAGACCCTTGATACAGACACAGGGACTCTTGCTTCCAGCTTCCCTCCACACCTTGTAGGGACCACAACACATGCAGAAGGCAGAGGGACATTCTGCGCATGCGCAACTTTGCTGTCCCCTCTACATTTCTGTGATTTTATGAGATTTAATAATGAGATGCCTTTTAGCACCTCTGGCAGGCTTCTGCATAGAATTTACTTTCTGTTCTTCCCGTCTCCCCCAGCAAAGTCTCCCTCCCTCTCCTCTTGAGCCTGCAAGGAGGGGCCAGGCCACTTTGGGTTTCTACAACACCCGGCGCTTCTCTACACACAGGTAACAGCTCCAGGCTGTGAATACGGCCCGCGAAGGCACCGCTTGGCCAGACTGCAGAACTGCACAAAGTTGGACAGACATGCAACTGGTCATTTCTGGGTGGTGGCCAGTCCCTAAGCTGAGGAGATCTCTGCACAGATCACATGTGAAGTCCAAAGCCCAGGGTCCTTGGGGCTACTGAGGGTCCAGGCTTTGAGAGCGGCTGCTCAAAACACTCCTTTGAAGAGCAAGCCTGCTTGACCCCTCGGAAGCTTCCACAAGAATTAAATAGTTCCTGCCACTTTTTCAGCCAGGGCGGGGAGGCAGAAACCAGGGAGATGACCCTCTGGATCAGACGCTCCTCCTGCCATGCAAAGAAAGCTTTGTGGGAGAAGCCTGTCCTGCCCAGAGGCCACGGCCAGCCTGGTCCTCCACGCCTCCCTGGGGATCTCCCCTGCCAAAGAGGGCGGCACTCACTGTTGTCCGCAGCAGAACCACTTTGCTGCCTCGGAGGGAAGTCCTCCTGCACGTCGCCTTCACCCGCCACTGAGGCATCCAGTAGAGGAGGAGGAGGAGGAAGCCGCCCGTGCACAGCACCCCCACAGCCACCAAGACCATCTTCCACCGGCAAAACGTGTAGCCGTAGATCTTCTGCAAGGAAGAAGGGGAACCAATCAGACCAAGGCAATGGCACAGCTGGCAGAACAGCCTCAGGACACCTCTGCTCTGCTCTCCCTCCCTGTGGCAGGACCAGGGAGGTCGCTTGCTTCACGGCAGGAGCCCAGGGGCAGCCACCCATGTCAAGGAGAAAGGGCAACTGCGAGGACACACGGACACCGTCTGCTGCAAGAGCTGCAGGTCCTATCAGACTTTTGCTGGCCACTGGAGAGGCAGGCCAAGGAAGCCACAACATTTCACCCTGACCGGCTGCTGACCAATGTGACAGGGGAAAAACACCCAGGGTGAGAGGAGGGCAGAAAAACAGCCGGGGGATAAAATCAAATGCAAAATGTGACCAGGAACTTGTCCCTAGTGAGTTTGCTCCAGCCTACGCCTGAGTTCCAAAGCAGAGTTACTGGGGGCAACTGAGAACATTCGGAAAAAATCGCTTCAGGCAAAAGAAGGGAGTTCGCTTTTGTGCTCAAGTGCTGCTGATTCCCTGGGGCAAAATTACCCTCAAGATTTCTCCACCAGCTGTGTTTCTAAGCACCCACCTACTCACTCGCAAGCTCCAGCTTGTGCACTCAACCCCAGAAACCCACAGATGGGCAGACTGTCAGAAGACGGTGTGGGCTGTGACACCAGGCCAGTGAAACACTTCTGCGCATGAGATACATGCAGTAAAGGCACAGGGCGTAACTGCCAGGGGCTGGATTAGATGACCCTTGGGGTTCCCTTCCAACTCTGCAATTCTGTGATTAAATTCCACATCTCTGGTTTGCTCTCCATCGCCAGAAAATCCAAGGACACTGGAAGCCAGTGAGGAGGCCCTGAGCAGCTCCCAGACCCCTGCACACCGCAAGAGGCCGAGATGGAGGGCAGAACAGAGGGGGCTGTCTTGGCCTGGCCACCTTGAGCCTCAGAAGAGGAGCCCACTTGAAACTTCTGGATCAGGCCCAGCTGAAATGAAACACACTAGATGACGAAGCAAATGGATCTGACCCTCCTCTCTTCAACTTGGGCAGAATTTTACTGTCTGGAAGAGCGGAGGGTGGGGGGGGGAGTGGAAGGGAAGGGAGGCAAGCAGGCAGGTACTTGGAGGGCAGCCAGAGGCTTCTTTCCACTGTCACACGGCAGAGGAAACAGAAGCAGCGGGAGCCCACAGGAAGATGGAAAGAAATCGGGGCCAGAACTCTGTCCGGAGCAGCTGCAGGGAGGCTCTGTGAGCTCCGACAGCAACGGGGGGGGGGGGAAGGTGGGGCAGTCCTGACAAAGCAAACCCTCAATACCGACCAGAAGGCGGCCTGGGAACCCCCCTGCCCACTTTCTCCATACCAGGCTTCATTTTATAAACTTGTGCCAGCCCCCCCCCCTCCTTCTTTCTGCACCCCAAAGCCCAACGTGCCGTAAGCTTCCTCCTAGAGCGGCTGCTCCAGCCCCTCTCAGCTGCCCTGCTCAAAAGCCTCTTCCTGCTCTACTGTTTCCTTTCTGAGGCGCACTGAATGGCACTCCAAGGGGGGGGCGCACCACAGATGCGGAAAACGGCATTATACATTGGCAAGCTGATTTCCGGGCCCCTTTCCCTAAAGATCCAGGGAGATGGAATCTGCCTTTCCCCGCAGCTGCCCGCAGCCGGGATTGACATTGCCATCCCTTTCCCTGGTCATCCACACTCAAGGCATCTTTCTCACCTGATCACAACACCACCACCAGTTACTTCTACGCTGCCATCTGACTGGGTTCCCTCCCATTGGCCCTTGTCATCGCTCCCTCCTTGCTTGGCCAGATCCTTCAAGATCCCAACACCAAAGCGACTCTCTTCAGGAGGAAGGAGGCAGGGAGGGAATGACTTCTGCGTGGGCAAAGGCTGCTGCAAAGACCCCACACCAGGGGTCCACAACCCTGTGGGGTCTGTTGGGCACATTGCAACCAGGGAAACTGTTATGGGCACAAACACGCACATGCCACAACCTTCCCCCCCCCACCAGCCAATAACCCCACCCGCCCCCAAAATCACACACGCCAAAAGCAGGCTAAAGTTGTCTATGGTGAAAAGAGGCTTCTTTCCGTGGAGGGAGGGGCAGGGGGTGGGACCCTGCGGGCACCAGGCCCCTGCGGGCGCCATGCCCCAAACCCTCAAGGGCAGCCCGTGGGGACGGGAACCAGGAGAAGAAGGAGGAAGGAGAAGAAGAAAAGTTTGGACTTGATATCTATCCAGCCTTTCACTCCCCTTAAGGAGTCTCAAAGCGGCTAACATTTCTCCTTTCCCTTCCTCCCCCACAACAAACACTCTGTGAGGTGAGTGGGGCTGAGAGACTTCAGAGAAGTGTGCCTGGCCCAAGGTCACCCAGCAGCTGCAGGTGGAGGAGCGGGGAAGCGAACCCGGTTCACCAGATTACGAGTCCACCGCTCTTAAGCACTACACCACAGCTTGGCAGCCAGTCTTCTGTGCAGGGGGCTCCTGGCATCTTCTCAGTCAAGGAAGAAAAGCCCTTCTATCCTCAGAGCTCCTGGGCTTGCAGACAGAGAAGCCTCACAAGGAGGACTCCAGAAAGCAAGGAAAGGCTCTGCTCCCTGTTTGAAAAGGAAGCAACTAAACCATAAAGCCAATTACCATCTCATCTTCCTCGCCTTTGTTGACCAGCTTTTCCTCATTCTCCATGTTCAGCGTGACGGGATCAGACACCAGCGGACCTGCGCTGAGAAAGAAAGGGGAAAAGAAGCCTTTATGAAACATATCGCCAAGATTTGGGGAGCCTGCAGCCACTGCCGACACTTCCTCCAAGGACTCCCCCCAGACCAAAGGGCGCACACCGAGCACAAGCACAGCTTCCCCAACTTTTCAGACATGAATCATTTCACGACACGGTAATTCAGTTTTACAAGCAAACCGGAGGTTAAACTAACCCCTTTCCAGATCCTGGAGGAGCGCTTGTGTGACACACTGCGGAAAGCTCTGTGCACAAGTCTGCTTAAGTGTCAGCCGCCAACTGCAGCCCCGACCCAGAAGAAAAACCATGGCAGGAGAACTGGAGGGTTATAGCTAGATCCCAACAGAACAGATGCAGCAGAATTTGAGCGTGAAACTCCTAAGCATACTTTGAATTCTGTGTGTTCTTGTAATGCTTTGCTCATAATACTTATGAGCATTTCTTCAAATATATCTATATATCTTTATCTATCTACCTATAGATAGATACACCAAGAGGTGAAATATTAGCCAGCGATGTTTCCAATGAGGCAACGCAGCTCAAACTCTCCTCCTCTCCAACCCACCCAGAGCTGTTACACAAGAGTGGCCAGCATGTTCCTTCTTGACCCACACATGCCTTGACCACCCTGCTAACGCAGCAGAACCCTGACTCTCCACATTTTAATGCATGAGTTCTTCAGCTGAGGGTTTCACAGGACTTTTCCTGCTTCTTGTCACCGTGGATTGCAGCTCGCATAGCAAATTCCCCATCGACGCCTCATTTAATCTTTCCACCTGTGGCCAACATTTCCTATAACCTCTTGAATTATTTTCACGTCTGTCCATAAACGTTGCATAGCTCTGCATCCCGACTGCATGAGCAATCTTTGCAAGAGCATCCCAAGAGCCCTGGGGCTGGATCAAGCCCATGGCCCGCCTAGGCCAGCATCCTGCTCTAACCGTGCACGAAACCTGCAAGCAGGACTGAGCACAAGAGTCCTCTGCCCCTGACTAGGGAGCCACAGCACAGCCACCAGGCCTGGAAGCCTCAGTCAGCCTTATCCTCCATGCATTTGCCAAAACTTTTTTCCAGCCCCCTGAGATGGTGGTCCTGGGGGAGTGAATTCCAGAGTTTAACTATGCACCCCCATCACTAACCAGCTAACGCTAAGCAGCACAACACTTCCAGAAGAGCAGAAAGCTGTTCCCGGACAGAGGAGGGGAATGAGGAACCTGCAGGCAGGGGCTGCTGTATTCTAATTTCTTTCCTAATCTCAGGTGCTTTATAAATAATAAAGTTATTAAGATCTTGAGACTGCCCTGAGAGACACTCAGCCAAATCCCTGTTCTCACTCCCCCCTCTGGAAACATCCCAAGAGCTCAGCTGGGCTCCACATATACTTGGAGCTGCAGGGGGGGGGGGGGAGAGACAGAGAGAGTTGCTTTCATACAGTTTTTCCACAATGCATGCTGAATTTCTATCTTACGAATATATCAGGCCAGCCACCATCGGTGCGCAGAAATCCCTGGGGTGACCACTTTCTGCAACACCACAAAACCAAGCTCAGAATATGTACAAAATGCTGAACAGGCCTAAGGCCACCCATACCTTCATTTTAGGCTACAACTTCCTCTCCTGCGAAAGACAAGAGTTTCAGAATGAAACCTGGCACAGCGTCCACAAGCTGATCCAAACGGCAAAAAAGGCCTCCGTGGGAAATAGCTGACTTCCTGTGCTCACTTACCTATGGCTGAGTGTTTTTAAGTGGCCCACGGTGCCGCCCCCTTGAAGGAAGCCTCCAGAGTTTAACTGTTAGCTTCAAAACAGTGAAGAGTTTCTTTGCAGGTGATGTTATAAAATGTGCTATGTTCTATAGTCAACATGGGTTTTGCCTTTTGAGAGTGAAGTCATCTCGTAACCAGGCATTTGCACTGGAATCAAAGGGTCACACGGTCCTCTCTCCCCACCAGATGAAATAGCTCTATAAATCTTGCTGACTGCCCTAAATTTATGAAAGGGTTTTTTGCACAGGATGCGTGAGTTGCCGCCCTTTGGGCTCAAACGCTCCCCAGCCAAGGCAAATGTCCCTCTCTTCACTCTGCAAATCAAAGGCTTCAGATGCCTCAAGAATCAAGAGCGACATCAAAGTTTGCAGCCAGCTCAGAGAAGGGCACCAGAATCAACCCATTCCATCCCCGGGTATCTTTGCGTGCCCAGCGATGCCTTCCTGGGCAAACCTCACTGAGTACATCTGCAGGACTCACAGAGCTGGCAGGAGAACATCTCCGCTTCCGTTCCCAAGTTGCCCACAGCTCTTTGAACATCCCCACCCTCAGAAGTTCTTCAAGAGAATGAGAGCAAGGCCTCCAGAGGGGCACAAACTCCCAACCGGCTGCCAAGGGTTCACCCACCAGCTATTCTGCACCCGGCCACAGCTCAGCTGCTCCTGTTCCAGCACGGTCGAGGGGAGGCCACGGGACCAAGCAGTGGGGCTAGAAACTCAGATATATAACCTAATCCCCAATGACCTTGAACCCAGGTTGCAGTCACCACAGTGGAATGATGGAGTTGTTATTATTATTCATTTCATTTCAACAGCACTTTCTATTTTAAAGAAGAAGTCTCAAAGCGGTTTACAGCACATGAAAACATCAAGTCAAACGGTCCAGAAGACAACCATTCCAAAGCTTTGAGGGACATTTCCCAGTGACTTTTGGCCTTCCCCAGTTGCCAGCCAGGCATCCAGAGACCTCCACCTGGGCACAGCAAGTGGACCCGTGCCAGTCAGTAGACGTGCCTGGCGTCTGGCCCATTTCTAACACTGGCTAGGAGAAAGAGGAGGAAAGACTTTCGGAGCAAAGGGGAATTGTGAGCCCAAGAGGAGCCCGCATCTCTCACGGATGCCAGCCGCTCCAGGAGAGCAACAGCCACCGGTGCTGCAACCACACAAATGACAGGTGGTAGCAGCAGCAGCAGCACTCCTGGCCTCACTCTGCACCCTGCGGAGGTCACCCCTAAAGCCAGCCAGAGAGCAGCAGCTCCACCGCATGGAGGACGGAGAATTCCCCAAGCAGCCTTCACCCGCCTGGTGCCCCCAGCCAGAGATGTTCTGGGTTGCAGTTCCATCAGTCGCAGCCAGCACAGCTGTTTGCAAAGGCTGACAAGAGCATTAACGGAACAGAGAACGAAGAATATGAGTTCACCTGACCCTTAATAATAATAATAATAATAATAAATTTTATTTATATCCCGCCCTCCCCAGCCGAAGCCGGGCTCAGGGCGGCTAACAACACCAAATAGTGCGACATTATAAAAACATTATAAAAATTAATTAAAATCAAGATTGATGGCAGCCATAAAGTTTTGTAAAGGTTGCCAAAGGAGGGAGTCAGGCTGCGCCCTAACCAAATGCCTGGCGGAACAACTCTGTCTTGCAGGCCCTACGGAAAGATGTCAAGTCCTGCAGGGCCCTTGTCTCTTGTGACAGAGCATTCCACCAGGTTGGAGCCGCAGCCGAAAAGGCCCTGGCTCTAGTTGAGGCCAGCCTAACCTCTCTGTGGCCTGGGACCTTCAAGGTGTTTTTGTTTGAAGACCGTAAGTTCTTCTGTGGGGCATACCAGGAGAGGCGGTCCCGTAGGGGAGAACCGGAAAAGGAAAGACAACGCACTTAAGAACAGACAGAGGCTCCCACCTCAGGCCACACGAGGCCAACAGAACAATGTCCTCCTCCGGCATAAGTGCCAATTGAGCCTTATGAATCTAGAATGGCAAGAGGCGCCAGCGGGTGTAGGAGAACCCCAAGGTTTGCAGAAGGACAAAAGGTATTTTTAAGAACACCCCCAAAGAGGCCCAAGAAGGCTGAGCCACAGATTTCTGGCTCACTGTCGGATGGGAAACAGAAAAGGAAAGGAATGAAGGAGGGCGCAGTTCACTGGCTGGCACAGGGAATAGGGGAATTCCATAAGACAGGGTCTTGTTGCCAGCCCTGCTTCGTCCCGTAACACAGAATGCCATTTCCCCAGATGCACTCAAAGGTAATAATTCAATCCCCTCCTGAAATAACGTTACACTTGCCTCATAAGCAACGGGGCTTCACCGCTGAGTATTCTTAAATAGTGCACCAACTTTTGAAATTGTGTACTTGAAAGGCTGAAGGGGAGAAATAAAAACAAAGCTTGAGCTCTGGAAGAAAACAGTCCACCCCCAAAAACGAAGACAATCCCACCATCTCTTGGACCTCAGCAACCCAGGAGCCGCTGTTGGCCAACAGCCAGGCCCTTTGCACAACAAGGCGGGAGAAACCTCACGAGACCTTCAGGGTGAAGCAAGAACACATGGCCACCCCCTTCCCGGCAGCCCCCCGAGTTTGCTGGTATGCTTCCCGCTGCTTCCGGGTCTAGAAGACACAACACACACCTGGCTGCCTCTCTTGCCACCAGCAGGGCCCTTCCTCTCGTGGGCAGCATCCGGACAGCACCTGCCAGGTAGAAGATGGGCCAGAGGCAGGCAGGCTGCGCCTCGCTGGACCAGCAGCCAGAGGAGACAGGACTGGCCTCACTGGAGCAGGAGTTGCCAAGGTCCTCCTCCTCCTGCTGCTGCTGCTGCTGCTTTTATCAGTGGGGCTTGCGTGAAGCCCTTCTTAACAGCCAGCCCCCTATCTACAAGGGAAGCCCCGCCAATGAACTATTTTGTCTCAACCCTTAAATAAGAAAGCATCCAGAGGGCAGCTTCGGCTTCCTTATCAAGAGCGCTTTTGGCACCCCTCGCCCTGGAGGGTTGTTTGGAAAAAGGAAAAAGGAAAACATCCCCCACAACAATTGCAAGGCGGGCTGGGGCTGGGGCGGAGGACGTGTCTGCGGCCCCCAGACGGACGGCGCAGCCCCCTCTATTCAAAGTGCCCTAACGGCCCGCGAGGGGCCAAGCCCCCGGCCCCGGCACAAGGCACATTCGCCCCGATGTTATCTCCATCGCCAAAAGCATTGAGGATATTATGCAGCCGACCAAACCCTTCCTCGCTCACACAATGGCAGCTTTGTGCTCGGAACCGGAGTAAACACACAATGCAAGATGCAAAAATGGTGAAACGGGCGCCAGCACTTTGCAGATGAAGTCAGCCCGACTGTCCGTTATCATTTGCTCTGTGGAATAAATATGAAGCCCCACACGGTCAGTGCTGGAGAACCAACCCTCCTGGAAGAGGCCAAGAGTCAATGGCGGCAAGGAACTTGAACCAAGGGCCTGGACTCATGACTTTCAAGAGAAAGAAGAGAGCCGCGAGGATTCCAGGGTCTCCATCTGCAATATCTCTAGAATTCGCAATCTTTCTAGACCTCACTGTTACGGGGAGTCACATAAAGAGGGACGTGATACAAGCACATTAAGAAAGAAGAGTCAGGCGCAAGGAGGCCCAACTGGTCCAGCGATGCATCTCCCACCACAACCAGCCAGAAGCCAAGGCCACAGCAAGGACACACATCCGAGCAACCGCTCCATCCTGCTCACACTCCCCAGAAAGCGGCTCTGGCGGAGTCGTCATAACTGGCAGTCCTGGATAGTCTCCTCCTCCTCCTTCATGAACTTGCCTAAACTTCTGCGAGAGCCGCTTTAACATTAGTGTACATCATCACACTTCTTGGTAGTTCAGCTACGTGCTATATTTATTTACTTAAAACATTTCTAAATGGCTTAGTATCTCTAAGGGGTATACAGCATAAAAGTAAGAAGCATCACCAATAAAACAAAAAGACAACACAAAACCAGTAAAGAGGTTGTGCAAAAGCACAGAGAAACAGGAATTCAGGGAATTCCTACAGATTAAAACAGGGCCTGGGGGGAAACAGCTGTCTCTACAAGGCACTTGAAGCAACGAGGAAGAGAAAGGAAAATGGGCAATAGCACAAAATGCCCGTTTTGGGGTCACCACCATGTGACCTTTCGTGTGGTGCAGTACTGCAAGCAGACTCTCCCCAGGTGATCTTGCAGGTCCTATGCATGAATGAGTCCGTTCTTTTGAATCTCCCCACATTAAGCTTCACTGAATGACACACCAAGTGGGTTATTATAACACAAGAAGCAGACTTCTCCCCCCCCCACACACACACAAACCCAATTTTTACACCTGTCCTCCCCAGCTCACCACTAGCCTGAACCACCACCTGCTTCAGTTCCTCAGACTCCCTTCCTGCAAAAGCAAGTTCACAACTGGGAGCTGCCCTTTATCTTCTGCTGTGAAGACAGACGCAGCTTTTCTACAATCTCCTTATCCTCCTTGAGCAGCCACTGGCTCCCTGGTCAGATCCCTTTCAGGTGGTCAACTCCATCGCCTGGTCAAGAGGAGGAAAGAGCATCAAGAGTCCAACCCGGATTAACTCCATAAGCACCTTTTCTGCTACTGCAGTCAGACAGTTTAGGGATGAGTTGAAATATGGCCTGGATCTTCGGTTCTGCTTTTCAGCATCTACTTTGGCTCCAAGCTCCCTGAACACCACTAAAAGTTTCATCCGTGTGCAAGTCATGCTCCAGCGCAGCAATGCTCCGCTCACAGAAGTGATGCGGTGCCACCAAGGGAGATGGCCTTTCTGAAACACCCCATGGGGCTTGCTGCAGGATGCCACCCCCCCCTTTACCCGGCTGGTGCCTCTCCTCCTCCTCTTCCCTCGTTCTGCTATGCTAGCTGTTGGCCCAAAAGGCTTTGTCCATCTCGCTGTGTAATAACAGATATTATTCTTCCTGCGGTTCTTCTCCGAAAAGAACGCTCCAGGAGGAACCAGCGGCTCCACCTCCACCCAGAGTGCTGGAAGGCACGGGGACAAACCCCCTGGGAAGGCGCGTGGCCACCTGAGCAGGCATCTGCCCAGGTCGTCAGGAGGCCGCGTGATGCTGAGAGTGCAGGAACGAGGGGAAAGGGTGGTGGACCTTTCCAGTTTAAGCAAATCGCCCGACTGATGCCTCCAGGTGCTGCTATCCGGGATTTCTGCTTTGCCTGAAATGTCAAATATTGATCCTATACAGTATAAACAAAGAGACTACTGAATTTCCACCCAAGCACGTCTCTGAAAAGTTACTTTTGGACCTGCGAACAAAGATTAATTCCAGTGCCCTTTGAAGAGGCTCCTGTGGACAGAAGGTGCAAAGGAGCTCATGCCTGGGGCAAGTGACCTCCCAGTGCCTTGGGCTCCTCCAGCTGGAGTCTAGCTAGCCAAATTGGAGGTGCTGCCGCTGCCGCTCCCAGCCTGGGCTTCCAGCCCCCATCCCGCCCCCACCCCAGTCCAACTTTATACTCCCTGACTCTCTGCCTTGCCTTGGTACAGACAAGCCCCCCACCCCCCACCCAAGAAACTACTTCTGCTGCTAGAATGGCTCAGTTGCTGAAGAGCAAACAAAGCTTCACACTTTACTCCACTAACAAACCTGGTACAATAAGCATGACATCACTGCTCAGTGAATACCTGGAAATCTTGCAAGCGTACCAGATCGGTTCAACAAAGCCCTCCTCTCAATGCCCATTTTATCACTTCCCATCTTGGGCTTTCTGGTATAATGCGGGCTTTTGTTTCAGAGTTTAGGCTTAAGGAAGACCATTGTATCTAGCAAGCACCAAACCAAAATGGTATTTACATTCGTAAAAAGTGGATTCTTTACATAAATATATGTTCTGTTACGAAAAGCATGCCGCATTTGGTGGCTGACCGAGCTGGATTTGAAAGCAAAGATTGTGACAATCTGTGATCTGTGATCCTTGGTCACGCGTTACGGCTGCAGTCCAACAGACACTTGGGAGCAAGTCCTCACTGGACTTGGCAGGGCTCACTTCTAACTCACTTCTGACGGGCACACAGAGAAAAAAACAACACAGATTTTGACTGGACCCTTTTCTGCACAATGACACACCCAAGGATGGAATTGCTCATGTGCGAAGGAGACCCTCTTTGCTTACCGCTGAAGGGTTGAGTCGACAGCCCCGGCAGGCCAGCAAAACCTAACAGGGTGTCCTCACCATGTTTTCCCACGCAAATTATAACTACAGCACAATGCCCCCTTCTACTTACACACCAGGGAGCCACGGAAGGGTCCTCTGCACCATCTGCTAGCCACATGTGACCCACAGGCGCACCAGCGCTTGCCTTGCCGACCTGTGCAACAGCCGCCTTGCTGGACAGACCCAGGGGGCCCATCCTGCCCCAGATCCAACTCCAGAAAGCAGATGCGCCCGGAAGCTCTTATGCAGGTGTGTTGCCACGTCCTCTTCACCCACAACGATGTCTGGCAGGCATCATATCCACAGCGTACACTAGGCCAGACATCCCTCCTCTTCCATGAATCTGTCTGGTCCTTTTTAAAAAGAAAGCTGCTTGTGGTCCAGCACTGTGAATGCTCTGCAGGAAGGCAACCCAAACTTTTGCACTCAGCCCGCACTTTAAAGGTAAAGGACAACTCTGGGGTTGCAGCATTCATCTCGCTCTATAGGCCGAGGGAGCCAGCGTTTGTCCGCAGACAGCCTCCGGGTCACGAGGCCAGCATGACTAAGCCACTTCTGGTGAACCAGAGCAGAGCACAGAAATGCCATTTACCTTCCCACCAGAGCGGTACCTATTTATCTACTTGCACTTTGATGTGCTTTCGAACTGCTTGGTGGGCAGAAGCTGGGACCGAGTAACGGGACCTCACCCAATTGCGGGGATTTAAACCGCCGACCTTCTGATCAGCAAGCCCAAGAGGCTCAGTGGTTTAGACCACAGCACCACCAGCATCCCTCAGGCCGCACTTTACCCCTGGTTATTCCTGGGCAGGTTCAACTCAAGGCCAAGCAGCACTTAGAACTTGTGAGTCACAGAAATCCAGTAAACTTTGATCGGCTTCAGAAGTTATTTAATAACTTGACCCCCACCCTGAGAACTAGCAGGTCTTTTAGCAACAGGGAGGAAGTTCTCACAGAGCCTAATGGAATGCCCCTGCTCCCAGTATGTCATCACTCCCTCTGCATTTTGCCATTTCTTGTAAATTTAACTCCCATAATGAGGAAAATCTCCAGGGAGTTTGGCAAGGATCTGCAAGCTCCCAGTAGAGCCCGTTGGACAGGATCCCAGCGGCCGCCCCTAACAAGCACCTCTAATTGCTGCAAGTGCATTTTGGCAGAAAGCAAAGGGAAAGCCCTGTGCCATCGTGTGGGTGCAAAGAAGGCTGGTGGGAGGGTGGGAGCCAGGGGAGGGACGCTTCTCTTGTGGGGACTCAAGAGCCCAGCTAGACCAGCCGTGTGCTCAGGAACACAATCCCCAAGATCCTGAAGCCTCTCTCCCCCAGCCTCTGAAAGGGTTAAGGAAGAGATTCCAAAGCCTCTCTGAGCAGCTTTTTCCACAGCGGCTGCTTGAGGCCTGGTGCTGATTATTCTGGCGCTGAGACAACCACCCAAGGCGTACATGCGAAGCTGCGAGGAATCTTGGTATTCTATCCAAACTGCACCTCCATTGACTGAAATGTTTTATGTAGGTACAAAATCATTTATTCTGCCACCTTTATGGGCAGGGCCTGCCAGAGGCAGCTCACGGTGTCATAAAGAGCAAAATAAACACACCATACTTCTGAAATCTCTTGCAAATCAACACAGGCAGCTACATTGACAATCTGACTCAGTACTGCCTACACTGACTGGTAGCAGCTCTCTAGGATTTCAGGCAGGGAGCCTTTTCCCAGCCCTGCCTGGGGATGCTGCCACTGGGGCCTGACCACTGGACCTTTTGTGTGCAAGGCGGGGGCCCTTCCCCTTTGCGACCCACTGCAAACACTCTGCAAATAAAGCAGCTCAAACAGGCATTGACCAAGACCACAGATTCTGGTCAAGGTTCTTGCGCAGCCTGGCTACAGAATCCTTTGGGGCGAGAGGCTGGCCAGGGGTGCCCTTGGCTCTTGTGGGTGGTGGGAGCAGACAGAACCTCCCTAAGGGAAGGGGCACTTCCTGAAACCACAGGAAGGATCCTAGTAAGACCCCCTCCTGCAGTGGGGGGAAACAGAATTGCTCTGGATGGACCTCAATGAATTCTGGTTGTCTGGTGCTAAACAGGCCGCTTTAGGTCAAGGTGATCAAGCCTGTTGTGGCAGCCCGGGCACAAGTGTTCCTGGATGAAACAGAGTATTTGGACCTCTTCAGTGCCCACCTTGGCTCTGGAAGTGCCCTCTTCATTAGCGGTGCCAACCTCTGGTGGCACCTGGGTTGTGGAAGACCCTCTCTGGGGAGACCTGCTAGGTTCCTCAGCTGCCCATCTAAACCCAAGGAGAGAAGGAAACAGCCTTCTTTCTATATTGGTCCGGCTACCTCTGGGATGCCAGGACTTTCAGCCAGGGGTCTCCCCACGCCATACCGGGGAGCCTGGCACCCTTCACACCTTGAGCAGGGAGGAGCTCTGCCACTGACCTACCACCCTTCCCCCTGAAGCCAGGTAAAGGTACCCCTGCCCGTACGGGCCAGTCTTGACAGACTCTAGGGTTGTGCACCCATCTCACTTAAGAGGCCGAGGGCCAGCGCTGTCCGCAGACACTTCCGGGTCACGTGGCCAGCGTGACATCGCTGCTCTGGCGAGCCAGAGCCGCACACGGAAACGCCGTTTACCTTCCCGCTAGTAAGCGGTCCCTATTTATCTACTTGCACCCGAGGGTGCTTTCGAACTGCTAGGTTGGCAGGCGCTGGGACCGAGCAACGGGAGCGCACCCCGCCGCGGGGATTCGAACCGCCGACCTTTCGATCGGCAAGCCCTAGGCGCTGAGGCTTTTACCCACAGCGCCACCCGCGTCCCCTTCCCCCTGAAGCCAAGGGGGGAGAAAAAGATGTCACTCAGAGGTATGGCTGGATTCCCAACTCCCAGCCAGGGTGGTCAATGGGTAGGGGTGATGGGAGCTGCCCTCTGGCCATGTTACCCCCTCCAGGCAGGCCCTTCAAGGGGACCAGCAGCAGCAACAACTCTGGGCTCTCTACCCAGATACTTTTAGCCACTGGTGCTCCCACATCTCACCATCATGCAGTTTAATGGCGATTTCATTGTGCCCACTCTGCATAGGAAGATCTATGAGTTCCCAACACGGCAAGATCTAGGGAAAGCAGCAGATCTGTGCCAGCTAAGTTTTGTGATGTTGTATATCCTTCCGTGCCCCCAGGGGGCAAACACACTAGGGCAGGCAGGGCGACCTCAAAAGTCCTCTGTGCAGGAGAGACTCTCCGAGGGTAGCCCTTCCCGGTTCTCTCTCTATCTCTCAGCCTGTCTATCTATTCATTCCTTTTCCTGCCACCTGCGCAATCGCCTAAGAAAAGCCCACGTTCAGCTGCACTTGAGTGCGAGGAGAGGAGAGGCGGCCAGGTATTGGGAACACGCAGCCACCTTCCGACCTGGCCTGCTCGGGCACGTGGGGCAAAGGGAAAGGCGGCCGAGAGGCAGGCGGGAAGCCGGGTCGGGAAGGCCGAGGGGCGCCTGTCCCTCCCGCGCCGGACAGCCGAGCCGCTTCCCCCCGACGCCGCGGCCCCGTCCCCTTCTCCGGGGGCTGGGAAGGCCGCGATCGGGGAGGCGGAGGTGGAGGGGAGGGACTCGGGTCCCCGAGTGGGGGGGGGGGCACGTGCCAGACAGGCGCCGGGAGGGAAGTCCCGGACCCCGGCCAGGACCCAGGAGGCGGCGCCCGAGACCCCCGCCCGGGACACCCACCTGCGGACCGAGGCGCCTCCACGTGTCAGCCGCTTCCCACGCGACGCCCGCCGCCGGCCGGGTCCCCTCTGCGCAGGCGCCGCCGCGTCCCTGCCGGGCCTCCTCCGCCTCCGCCTCCGCCTCTCCTGGCTCTCCTTCGGCGACCGACGGAGGGACCGGCCGGGGGGGGGGCCTCGCCTCAGCTCTCCGCCTGCGCCCCCGGCCGCCGGAAGCGCCTCAGCCCCGCCGCGCCGGATGCGACGTCGCCAGGCCCCGCCCACTTCCGCTCGCGCGCCGGCTGCGGGGAGGGGCGAGGCGCGCGGAGGCCTCTCGCGGTTGCCCGGCAACGCCCACGCCCGCCCCGCCCCGGAAGGGCCGAGCCGGAAGGGAGCCCGGGGGGCATCTAGTCGGACCCGCGCAAGGGGGGGGCGGGACAGGCCCCAGGGTCGCCTGCGACTGGACTGAACTGCCAGGGGTCCTTTAGCACTAGGTGTGTGTGTGTGTGTGTGTGTGTAAATATAGGTATGTATACCTAGACATCATATTAAAAAGCAAAAAAAAGCAGAGACATCACCTTGCCAACAAAGGTCCGTATAGTTAAAGCCATGGTTTTCCCAGTAGTGATGTATGGAAGTGAGAGCTGGACCATCAAGAAGGCTGATCGCCGAAGAATGGATGCTTTTGAATTCTGGTGCTGGAGGAGACTCTTGAGAGTCCCATGGACTGCAAGAAGATCAAACCTCTCCATTCTGAAGGAAATCAGCCCTGAGTGCTCACTGGAAGGACAGATCCTGAAGCTGAGGCTCCAATACTTTGGCCACCTCATGAGAAGAGAAGACTCCCTGGGAAAGACCCTGATGTTGGGAAAGATGGAGGGCTCAAGGAGAAGGGGACGACAGAGGACGAGATGGTTGGAGAGTGTTCTCGAAGCTACCAGCATGAGTCTGACCAAACTGCGGGAGGCAGTGGAAGACAGGAGGGCCTGGCGTGCTCTGGTCCAGGGGGTCATGAAGAGTCGGACACAAGTAAAGGACAACAACAACATATATATATATATATATATATTTGCTTTCGTAGATTTTCACGGGTACAGGAATGCAGGTTTTGGTGTCCTCGGGTGTCTTCCCGTGTAAAAGTTGGGGTGTCTAGGCGACGTTTCGACGAGGTCTCACTCGTCATCTTCAGGCTGGTGCTTTCGGCTTCTTGTTACTGGAACAGAGCAGGATCTCAGTGTTTGAGTTCCTATAAATACTGTTGAGGAGGTGTGGTGTATAGCCTCCAATGTTCTGGGCAGAGAGGAAGTTCCCAGGCTAGTGTGCCTTTTCTTCTTTTGTTCCTTAATTACTTGAGGGATATCTTGAGTGATTTCTTGAGTGATATCCTGAGTACCACTTAGGTGGGTCATTAGGTGTGGATTAGTTGCTAAAGCTTTCGTGTTTTTCTGAGAAGATGGCTGTACTGCACTTAGTTGTGCTCTGGCTTGGCTTCGTGTATAGGGGCGAGATGTGGTTTTGTGGCTTGTGCCAGCCAGATCTGTGTAGGGATTGCAGGGGGGTGCAGCATCCGGAGGTGCCAACATGGTTTGGCTACTGGATGGTGTCTGTAATTTATCTGTGGAGAGGGTCTGGGTTTGGGTCTGGTGTGGTTGATTGGTGATGGCGTTCTGTGTGCCTCTGGATCTGGTGTCGGTTTTTGTGGGGAGGGCTAATTTCCAGATGTCTGGCAGGCGGGATGTGTCGTCACGCTTGTTCATGTTGTGAGGGTGTTTCTCTATCTCGATGGCTTCCATGATTAT